CGTGTAATATGATTTATCGGTCGAATCGGACACATGTGAAGGTTGAATCATAAGCTACTTTTACGTCAATACATAACAGTTACGGATCAATTCGGCTCTCATTGAATACATCAAGGTAGTACCTAACACTTGCACATAACTCGAGAATAATCGCTCAAAGGATATATAAAATAACCTTGGAGAAAATCCATTCTCTAAACGGCAATTTTTTTTGCACACTACTGTATATATATATATGTATGTGTATGTATTAATAAACGAATAGAAACGGAACAGCTAGCTTGATCATTTCGTCATCCTGACGTGGTTCTTTACTATTTTGTCGAATTCTTGACTAATAGAACGGAAAAGGTGGCAAGTCAGCCAGTAAAAGATGTCGCTTTTTCTTCATTCAAGGATTCAAATTTAATGGATTTATGTAGGTAGATATACCCACTTATACCTGTCAACGGTTACTTGAGAGTGTATGAGAGAGAACATGTTGTTGTATTTTGAAAGTGTAGCTAATGATCTTTACGAGTAAGAAGTTACATACACTTTTCTTTTTTCCATTAGAAATCGTTTCTTCTTTTCATGTGTAAAAATTGTTTCAAGTTTATTTTCAAAAAGCATCAAGCGACATGCATATTTTGATCATACGATTTCGGATTTTATCATCACTCAACAAAAAAGTATTTCTTCAAAAGTTGTCCATGCTGTTAATTGTTTCGTGGATGTGTGAAGTATTCGATTTGTGTTGGTATTGATCCTTGTCGTGGCCACACATGTATCATAGTTCCTCCTGGAAACATTCTTGTATAAGTATGCATCTCACGTCGAGCATCCTCCGTAGCATCGAAGAAAACAACTTCTACTCGCCCATCTACTGTGCGAAAAGTTTTACGACAATATAATCGATCGTTTTCTTTTATTTTTGCCGTTTGTATGATTTGATGACCAGGATAATGTTTAGCCAACCATTGTTCCACTTTCTGATGTCTAATCTCACGATTTGCTCCATGAATAGGCACTACTCTTGGAGATCTTTTATGATCCACGAAGGCTGATTGTCGCATTGAATGATGATACGGTCTAAAACAGGTATTTTGTGTTTTTTCTCTGTAGAATTTATACAAAAGTGTATACCTATACGACATGATTATACTTGTTCGACGTTCTGTAGAAGTAATAATGAAGAAAATGAGGTTTTTGCTTCAATTCCCCGTTTTATATACGTTGATTTACTCAGAAATTGCCAACTTAGTCTGTCTAAAAAGGCAATGAACCGTATCAGTCATCGCAATACTCAGGTAAGAAAGGAAGTGAGTAATGACTATATGATGAAATATATATACAATACTAGCCAAAAATATAAGAACAAGCAGGTTATTCTTCTTTTCCTCTTTTCTCCACCTGCTTCTCGCCTTCTTGGATTGAAATGTCTATGAATACATATGCATTCAAACACGACCTATACAAATACCATTTTAGAATTTTTTCTGAACTACGTATTTTATGGAGGTTTCTAGACGTCTTGAAATAGATTCAACTAAACTATGACAGCTTTCTATTGATATTTCCGACCACAGTTTGAGAATAATTTGTTGAAGATCATTAACAGTCGTAGGTTGATAGTTTGTGAGTTTTTTTTATCAGTGATATCCCAAATATTTTCGATAATGTTTCGATCAGGTGATGCTGCGGGCCAATCTACAGCATTAATTCAATGTCGTTTCATCCAATTCATAGTAAAGCTTGGCTGTTCATGTTCATTCTTCCATCGTAGAAGACTAAAAGAACTAATACCTTCGGTAGTCACAACACCTCAAACACTAATTGAACCACCTCCACCGGTAGGTTATCATTTGCCCTAAATCACTGTCCCTACAAGTGTCCCTAAAATTTGTCCCTACATAGGGACGTTTCATTAATTACGCTATTTCTGGTAACCAAGTAGGGACACTTTGTTTAGGGACCTCTCAATTTAGGGACTTTTTTCAGTGAAAATCTGATATACTGCTGTCGAATGTTTCAAACTTCATAGTATCACCTATACTTTTCGCTAGTAGTGACACTAACTAAAAGTTTACTAACGAGGGAGGCTCCCCAGGTGTCTAAGGCCTTTAGGTCTCATCTTTTGGCAACAAGTAGACCTCAATTATATCTGGAAAACCCCAAGGGGATTCGTCCCCTCGCGTCTTTATTGCAGACTTATAGCCATTTTAGTGGAATTTCAGCCTTTAGCTCAGTGTGAGCCAATAAATCGAATGACATTATTTCGAGCTGAAATTTCGCCCATAGATAGCCATA